CAGTTGCCACCACTAACTATGAGGTGATTTTTAAAAATAATTAGAAATGACCTTTTGTACCTTTTATGCCACATTCTTCATGTGCCATACATATTGAATGTGTGAAAACAATAGTCAGAAAAAAAAAATCAGAGTATGAGCTTATTGCAGAATAGAGAAAGTCAGAGGGAGGAGGAACTCACAGTACTTCACTGTGACCTTGAAGTATAGGCTTCAGAATCCAAGGCTACTTCAGATGGAAAGAATCCTGAAACATCACTTACTGTGGATTATGTTTAATAACATCCATCCTGATCAATGTACCGACAAAACTGGTAGAAGATGACCTTTCAGTTTAGAAAAGCTACTGAAATGAAGACAAGCAAATACTGACAGTTTGGCCAAAAGCTCTTCAGGCAGACTCAGATTTAAATATATATATATATAGATGTTCTACAGGGTCTCACTACACAGTTTGGACTCATAGTGGTCCTCTTGTTTTCAGCCTCCCAAGCTTTAGCATTACAGGTGTGCACCAGCATGCCCAGTCTCAATCTCTGGCTCATTGTGCCCTGGAGCTGGGGCTGATATGACATACCAGGTATCCTGTCACGGTGCATGCCTAAGCAGGCATTTTAGTGTGCTGAGCTATCTGGCTGGCCCTGCAAAGATATTTTAGCTTTGCCTTTTTTTGTTTGCTGTTTAGTTTTTAGTTTAGTTTAGTTTAGTTTAGTTTAAGTTTAGTTTAGTTTAGTTTAGTTTTTAGTTGTTTGTTTTGGTACCAGAAATCAAACAGTATCTTGCACTTTCTTGTTAGGCAGGCACTGTGGCTAAGTTTTACCCCAGTCTTTTGAAACATATTTTAATCAACAGGATTTTAGTTTGACAGTGCTCAACAGAAAGAATTTTATGTATTTATTTGTTTATTAAACCAAAGATTTGGATAATTTTCTTTAAAAATGAAGCTGAACCAGGGAGACACCTCAGTGGCGTAAGCACCTGCCTGGCAAACACAAGGGGCTGAGTTTGAGCCCCAGTAACCCTGCACCCCCAAAAAACCTGAAAATTAAACAGAAGCAAATAAAAATATATAATTTAAGAATTCTATGCCAGTGCAAAAAATACCTGAGAATATGAGGGCATTTAACACAACTAAAATGTACATTTGAAATTATTATCATGAATTGTAGCTTTTGGGTCTGATGAGGTCAGTCAAATCCCCTCAGGATTTATCCTGAGACCCTGTACCTCAGTTTGTAGATCCTTTGTCAGTGTCAGCGATGGGAATGAGTCACGGCCATTGCTTGACCAATTTACTCTCTGTGAAAGCCTGAGAGAATATTTTCTCTCCATGTGACTCTCCTTAGGCACACTCTACATCATTGATCACTTTTCTCTTTGGCCCCATAATCTCCTTGATCAGAAAATCTGGGACATGTCCTTGGACAGCACATTTTATCACCTCATTACAAATTCCTCTGGACTATGAAATTCTCAGTGTCCCAGACTAGACCAGTTCCTCACTTCACTTCCAAATGCCATCCTCTCCTCTCCTCTGATATAAAATAACTATAGTTGGAAAAAAAAATAAGCATTAACTTTGAGAAGATTTTTAACAAAGTTGATTATATTTATGGTCATTAAAACTTCAGAATGAAGTAATGTGCTATTTAGAAGAAAAATACATTGACAGAATTAGGAGAGATGACATCAAAATAGAGCTTTTCAATTTGTCCCTTATGTATTCTAAAGTCACAGCATGGACTGCATTTTTTTTGTTGTCACTGCAAAGTTGGCAGTACATATAATCACAGACTTTCCTAATGACCTTAAGAAATGAGAAAACAGAGGAAACAGAATTTGATGCAGTTTTATAAAAGGGCCTATTTGTCACCCTTCCTTCTGCTGTTTGAAGTGACCATACATTTGAAGGGAACAAATACATTGTGTCACTGAAGTTATTCTTGATTGTATAGAGATAAAAGTTTAAGTTATTTGTTTTTATATGCATCACAGAATGCTTTTAAAAGAAAAAACTGGCTGAAATGGTTACTATAATCATTAATAAAAACTCTTTACATGCATTGCAGAAGAAAAACACATCTAGGTGATGTCTCCTATCTCTGTGAAGTAAGCATGGACTATATCTGCGCCAATGAGTTATTTTGCTGAATTCACACA